CTGTCTGACTGCTTCCTTTCAAATCATGAATCGTGCTTCCCCATTCCCTACCAGTGAAATGTTGGTTAAACCAGCCTTCAAATTAATCAAGTGTCTAGACAATTTACAGCGCTGCCCAAAGAATGATGAGGCAGCAGGTTTCCTAGAAAATGAAGGAAATAAATAAAGATGGCATTTCTACATAATTTTGGCATAACAACCATTACCAAGGGTAAATGTTTTCAAAATGTGACTCAAAGGGGGAGTTTTCAGAGAAGAGTTAAAAAATTGTTTTAAGGCTCAAAAACTATAGACATCTGATGGCATACTAAAATAGTTCAATTTATTTAGCTTCTTGCAGACAAGATGAAAAGATATTTTACTCAGCATCTCTAAGAAAGTGTGAAGGGGAGTGACACCTGACACTAAACATTTCTTTCATCTATCAAGCATAGACACAAAGTTAAATGTTGGAGTCTGCAGAAATCAAACTGTAAATTAAGTGTAAATTATTTGCAGGAATGGCACTTAAGCACTGGCTTAAGTGCCACTGGAAGACGTGGCCAAAGGATATGGTAAATTTTCTATCATTTGAAGTCTTTAAAGCTAGATAAAATGTGTTATACTGCTATGATTACTTTTTGGGTTAGCTGCAAGAAATAATTTGGTGATTTTTTATGGTTTCTGTTAAGCAAGAGCTCAAACAGTGCTCACATTCTGTTGGGGCTTCAAAACATAGCAATCATGATAGTTAGGTATGATTCTACAGCACCGATAATGATAGGAGATGAAATTATAGCCTCACTGAAGTCTATGAAAAAGTCCCCACTCCCTTTAATGAGACCAAAATTTAATCTACAATTGTAAAAATCTTTGATATATTCTTTACATTTAAGATGGGGATTATATGCAGACTGCTTTGCTCCACTTCACCCATTTTATTTTCTAGCTATTATGTTTACCATTTTATTTTCTACTTCAGATTAGTTTTGAATTAATTTTGTAGGATTTACATTTTTAAAGCATCTAGGAGTTTGCAGCTTTTACCTCTTGTCAAGATGTGCAGAGTTCAAAATGGAAATGAGAGAATGGACTTGCAAAAATTCCTTTTATTCTTGATTTCATTTGGGTAAGGGTCAAATATTTCATTGATCATCTTTCACAAAGATGGGTATTTCTGCTGCCTGCCTCTGTTGAAGCTGGAAAATGGAGATCTGTACAAATATATTTTCTAGATTCTTCTCAACCTTATGAACAGCTGAGTTCAGGTCAAGACTTCCATAAAGCTTCATAATTAAGCTCACTCTGAGTAGAGCCAGGAAGGAACATTGTTGTGTGTAGCTTTGCCACAGTTGGACATATTGTCCAAGCCTGAAAGAGAGAACAGTCAGCTGTCCTTCTGCGTGGCCTTAAGATCAGATGTGCAATGGTTGCTGATAGTTGTCCTGAAAATATATGGATGGGTTTGGGACACCAGAGTCCTGAAGAAGTCACTCAGATATAATCCTTTTCAGGAACAAAGAACAAACTGTGACTCATAGCCCATTACTAGAAATTACTTTAAAGCCAGTATGGAGAACTATGGAGATCTGCTGAGAATGTAAAAGTGTGGAAGCTGAGAGGCCCAGTCTGTCTGAGCTTTATTCCACTGAAAATTAAAGCACACTGTATTTGTTTGTCAGTTTGTTTTGTAACAGGCTGATCTAACTGTGTGCAACAGAACAGAAAAGCCTCTGATCCAGATTCCACCTGATTTTACTTTGGGGACGTGCATAGAAGCAGGAGATATGAACCTTGCACCAGGGATGTAACTACCACAGCTCTTTAAGGTACAATTTAAAGCCCGCTGGAGTCAATGGAAAGCCTTTCAATTACTTCAGTGGGCTTTGGATCAGAACCTCTGCTAGGGAGCCTTTGTCCTTGGCTTTCTTAAAAGAAGATTTTACTGGTGTGTGAATAGTGTTAATCACCCATGAACACTTGCTAAAGAGTGATCTGGTTTTTATGATATGGAAAATACCCTGCTGAAGCATGAAACCTTTTAATGAAGTCAAACAAAGTAAAACTTGCCCTCCATAACCTAAAGCTCAGCTCCTGAAATATCATTTACTGGAATAATGCATTCCCCATCTGTCAGCCAGGGCTTTTTCCCGCCACAGGTGAACTAATGCAGCCTTGGACTTGTGCCATGGTTACTGGTATCTGGTATTTCACTAGAGGCGAGGGATAAGAATTGTTAATAGCAAATATTAATTTTGTCCACCTCATGGAAACAACAGAAAATAAGCACATCTTTGTCCCTGGATTTACGTAATTGGTTTTCCTGACACCTAAATCAGCTATACGTCCTTAATCTTACCCTTGAGAAACCACTGGCATCACAGCTGAGAACTTCTTATTTAATGTAGAACTAATTATTGATTTGTTTATAGTCAGTGAATGTATAAAACTGAAATTTAAAAGCCACCTGACAGAGTTTTTGCTACTATCTTTAGTCTTGACTGTACTGGCATGTTAGGGATGTAATGATAATAAAATCCATTCACAGTAAATATTCTTGTACTTGTTCATTACCTTACGAACAATACAATATTGTGGATTTGTTGATCTCAAAGCCCAACTCAAATTGTGATTTTATCTAAGTAATCACTAGCCTCCTGTCTACCAGCATCAGATGAGGTCTCATATAGTTCATTACTGAGTCTTTTTCTGTATTCATATATAAATGAAATTCCTGAGAATCATGATAACAACTCTGGTTCACACAGTTCATATGGTAGCAATTTATTGCCTGTCTTCAGATTTTTTAAATCTCTCTGGCACTACAGGGTTATTACAGTAAGTTAGAAAGACAGGTATTTTAAGTATGAACTCATTGTTAAGACCTCAGAAATACTGAGTGCTCTTGAGTTGAAGCTTTGATGAGAAATAAATCCTCCTTGTGACACTTTTATGCCATGTAGAGATGAGGAAGTGTGAGCAACAACACCTGGCAAGCAAGCTGTCTTCTTTAAAAACAAGTAAACCAGCTGCTCATCAGGTTGGAGAAGGATTTAGCAGGAAATAAAAGTCTGCTCAAATGTTTCTTGCTCAGATCTGCAAGAGAAAACTCATATTTTATGATTTGTCCTCTGGATACTGAGAAAAACTCTCTATATTTTGTATTTTCAGACACCATGAAGAGTTTCTATCTAAAATCAGGTCTCATTTTCAAGTGAACAATCTACTTGACAGATCCATTTCTGTTCATATCAATTCTCTCATTTAATGAATGTAACCTAATGAGTAATAAAATCAACTTATGAAGAATAAACAAAATTTGAGAGAAATTTCCTCTTTCTGGATACAGTAGTCATAGGATTTCTGGATTTGCTTTGTATGGGTTGCCTTTTCTTCTATTCGTGCATGTGCATCAGGCAGGTCATCTCATTTAATAAGCCTCTGCTTTCTGTTCACATTGGATTAAAAAATTTTTACCCAGCAGAGCAAGATTAACCAAAATGTTTTTGGCTCTCCAAAGCCCTAGACAGGTGATAGGTGATAGTCTCATAAAGCATTGGGAAAAAAAAATTGTTGGGAGCCAAATGTAGGTGAGTTGATACAAGGCTGGCACATTTAACTGCATACATATTTTCCAACTGGACAAAGCATCTAATCTGATCCCTTCAAAAAATAATTTATTTAGTTTTACAGCTGCCTCAATCAGCCAGCTATGACTCCATAGGAGACATACCATACTTCCCAGAAACAGAAACATTTAACTCCAGAGGGGAACCTAATTGTAGGTCTTCTTTAGCTTCCATTTAGCTGTAAGATAAATACATGCAATAGCATGCAAGACAGACACGTATATCATTATACACCCCTCCCAATCGCAAAAAACCCTAAGTGAGTTTGGATGTGTCATCTACTTTTTTTTAAGGTTATCTGGTATTTTGTGAATAATTTGTTGACAATTCTACTTAAATGCACTCAGTGTTATTCTGAGTTCCGAGAGCCTCAGTCAAATGACATTGTAACAAACTGAAAAGTTTCCTTTTCATACCTTGAAACAATAACTGTCAGGGATTTATTTTATTCTCTAGGTAGATAATATTGTGATGGCTAGTCTTCTTCAAGTTTTGACTTGGCTCCCAAGGAGACTTCCTCTTTTTGTATTTAGTTTGTTGTTGGTTTTGGTTTGCTTCTTATGAGTAACAAATCCAGATTCATCTATCCCATCCACCCGACTCTCCTGACACCAAAACTGTTCTCATACCCTGCTTGCAATCTCCATGTTTGCAGATGTGACAAGCAGGGAGAGAAAACAGTGTTCTGCAATGACCACAGAGAGGAAGCTGCGTGGAAACATTGATTGCTTCTTGCAGCTTCCCTCACTTATTTAAACAGTATTATGCTATCTCAAAGACTTGTAAATTGAGATAAGGAGAGAGGAAGTTCCTACCTGTGCTGTTCCAAACCCTAGATAAGCCAGAGCTATGTGCCTTCAATAATACTCTCTGTCCCAGACTCCTATCATGCAAACACTTAAGCATCTGCTCATCTTTGCAGAACAGCTCTTGCAATTTCGCCGGACTGCAGGGCAAATTTAAATTTAAAGACATTCTTATTTGCAGACTCAGGACCTATGGAATGATGTTTAGTTGCATCAGGCTCCACTGCCATGTAAGATGCTGTAGGATATCCCTCCTGGCTTCCAGATGCTGCTCCAGAATGGTACAGGTTTGTCCTAACTCCTATGTTATCTATCAGCCCAGATGTCTCTGATGCCCTTGAGCATCTACAGTGACACCTGTATTAGCCCAGCTGTCATCACACTAAAATGAGGAATTCAGAACAACATGACAATGCAACAGAGGGAAAGAATAGCTTTTTTTAACTCCTAGGAGTGTGATGTGCAAGCAGAATCTACTGTACGTTTTATTTCCTAAATTGCACTGGTCTTTTCGGACAAATGGAGACCATCGAGAGACAAAACGCTACAAGCTACAAGTAATGGAACCAAACAACCTGCAGCTTACCTGCAGTACGATGTCCCGTCCATTCCGTGTGATGTTGACAGTGTGGGGCTGTCCATTAGCCATGTTTCTGTGGTCAATATCGATGTTGTAGGGCTCTTTGGTGCCTCCGAGGCTGTACCGAATCTGCAGACTCCCTAGTGGAAGAAAAATGTGAGAAGCGCCCTCAGGTATTTTGGTCTTTATTCACCAGTTATTCCCCCCTCTTTATTTTCACACGGAGCTGTTATCATTTCACACTTAATTGCTCTCTTAGCTGGTCTCTGCAGCGATAGAAGAGCTGGTGTTTGAGATTATAAAGTCACTGGGCTGAAACTGCCTCTAGTTTATAACCCAGGAATGTGGCAATGACCAGCATCTCCAAACCAAAGTGTTTGTAAACACTCCAGTGTGCAAACCAAGCAAATCAGGGCTATGCCTTGAACATTATGGGCAATTGGTACAAAATTGAGCACATCAAGTAGCACTTTATTGTTGAGATTATTATACTTGCTGCAGTAAAATTCTTTGAAATTATACAAAGCATAACATTTTCTAAAGAATAAACCATTGACATGCGTTGAGTAAAGGCAAAATTACAACAAATTAACACTGACACATAATCTACACAAGGGACTTTCTTGCTCTATCATTTAATTCTTGTTGATGGGTGACCGTCTGGACTTTTATGGAAATTTAATAATATATGGTGAAATGAAAATGTCATGTTACATTGTTAGAAAAGTATAGTCAAAAGTGATTAATTGATATTTATGACATACTGCCAGACAGGTTTTTCTTTTCTAAACAAAAGTGAAGTGTCTGCTCTTCATAACACATTTTAATATTTGATTAAAAGGAAGAATGAAAAGGGAAAGGCAGATCCCATTATAGATGAAAAATGGAAATATTCAGGCCCAAAAGAGCAGCCCTAGACCTTTATAACTATAGTTAAGTTGTCTGATGTTGGATTTCTCTCATGCACCTTCTTTCTTCCCCATGAAAGGAAAGAAATGAGTGGCATGTGGAATACTCATATTATCCCATAAAAGAGAACAGTAATAAAATCATACTAATTATGATTTTCATGGGGCACTAAGGCACTATTTGGAATTGAAGTATGTTCAGTTTATATACAGTTTTAATACTCTAGCAGCAAATGATCCATATCTAACCCTCAAACATCACGAAAACATTTAGGACATTATGCTACATCCATATTTTAGCCACCTCAGTGCGTATCCAGATTTTCAGGACAGTAGATGACCCTTTTCACTGACTACTGGTGATATTGCCATGAGTTCAGCTATTCGGGTGCCTTCATGTGTATGCCTACTCGTCCTCACCATTAATGCTGATTTGTGGCAAAACCTAGTACAAGTAGGACACAGGTTCAGGTTTCTAAGTGCTTTATGTTTTCATGACAAGGGGGAAGAGATACAAGTTCAGAGCTTCATCTGAATGTCAGCCTGGCGTTATCAACTGTGCAATGGAGAGAGCCCGGAGCAGTTGCATACCAGTTGGCTTCACAAGCACAGCCATGAAGTCCTGGGTATAGGAGCTGATGTACAATAGGACACAAGGGGACTTGGTGGTACTGAAGCTGAAGCTGAGCTCTTCTTTATTCAAGTTGAGGTCGGGTGATGCTGTGATCTCAGCATCTGTAGAACTCAAAAGTGTTCGGCTAACTAAATCCTTCATGCTGGTTCCCGGGGAGTGGAAGTTGTAACGAAGCCACATTCCTTCTTCAAAAAATGCTCCAACATCTTGAAGAGAGCAGAAAAAAGAAGAGGGAAAAAAAAAGGGAGAAATTAAATGGGTTGACACCTTTTGGATGAAACATATTACTTCCCACTTGATCAGTACTAATCTGTGCGTGCTTCTACTGCTGCATTATTTAATCACTCTGTCAACATTTAGGTGAATAGGCTCGCTATTTCCCTGTGAGAGTGAAAAAAAACAATCTCCATTTTATTGGCGGGTACCTGGATTCACAGAGCAAAGGAAAGATTTTCTTTGGGGTACACAGAGGGCCTGTGCCTATATCTCATATCAATACTACAGACAAGTAGAATTACACTGTAAATTTATTCTCATTAAAATCTTGCAGTAGATAATGCTCCAAAGAAGGAGACACAAGGAAGAGTGATTTAAGGTACATGGTAAGCAAACAACTGTCAAGGAAAAGGAAAACCATCAGTACTGATGAGCAAATTTGAGTGGATTTGGAAGGAATGATGACAAAGGAATGATAACAATTCCAGAACCTGAAGGATTTGAAATAGGATTGGACACAATAGGAGAAAGTTATCGACCACTAACACAATCCTTCATGAGAACTGCATAATCAGGATGCCCTTATGGGAGATAAAATTAACTAGGGAGCTTGACTCAGCGGGGAACAAGGCAAGAGACACATGATCTGTAGATCCCAAGAGGTGCTACCCAGGCAAAGTTTTCAAACAAATATGAGACAAGATGGGATGTTTCAGTACTCCAGACAGAAAATAAAACTACTTTTGGCAGAATTAATACTTTCAGCTGAAAACGCATGGGACAGGAATGCAGTCCTACTTATTTCTTAACATTAAAAGCATAATTCAAGGTTAATGTTCTTACAGTGATAGCTGGTTTTGACAACCTCCTATGAAAATTATTGCTAAGTGTTCTAGCGTTGGTAGTGTATAACTGACTATATTGGGGATTGCTTGACTGACTTCCTATAGTAAAAATTCATTTGCTGACATTGTGGTCCTGGATTGGTTTTGCTGTTTGGGACAACAACATTAAAGGAATTTTAAAAATTACATGTGAACTTGATTAAGAAGATGTGTTTATGAACATTTTAGAAGAGATTAAATAATGATGAATAAATAGTATAATCATAATATAGGAGTATTGTATTCAAAGAAGGGTTATGAGATATGTCTCAAGGCATTAACAGTCTTTAAACAAAAAGCCTTCTATTGTTTACTGCCTTCTTACAGGATGCAATTTGCCACAGATTGGTACAAAGGTGTAGCATTTTGAATCTTCACAGAATTCTAAGCAGAAACTTTATCTCAAACTATATGAAGGCAGATGCCCATTTTCCAAGCTGTGCAGTGACAGAGAACAAGTCAGGAAAGAGCCTGCAGAATTTATTCAGTAGTCTAGCAGAGAAAAGGTAAGAAGATAGGTAAAAGTATAATGGACTTTACTGATGCTTCTTTCAAGAATTTTGCTAAATCTAGTGCTAGAAAAGCTTTAGGTTTTCCTGTTATCACGTAAAAATTCTCCAAAACTCGAAATATCATAGTCACTTTCACCATATGGATGTATGAAACATGGAGCCAAGTTGTGGTCCCAAAGCGCTATAAATAATTCGGTCATTATGATAGATTTATAACTGCAATTTTATAGGAGAAAATTTACATCACCCTGAAAAAGTTACTGAAGAGGCAATTTAATTTAACAACTATATTTTACAGTAGACTCAACTTAAGTACTCCTAGTTTAAAAGTGAAGAACCCTGTCCTGAGAAAAAAACTCCTTGAATTGTGATGCCCTCTGCCACTTAACAGTGGCATTGAAGACAAGCACGCAAAAATCTAAAGCGCTGTAGTTCCAGGTATCAGAAAGACTCACTTAAAAATATCGCTGTGACCAGTAATTTATTCTTCTTTAACCTCTGCTCCTAGCTCATGCAAGTTGCTTCTCAGGTAGATGCTGTATCAGTCATGTGGCCGTGGTACTGGCAGAGCTGCTGGCCATTGCCAGGTCCTGGCTGTTTGACACTGCCCCTTGGGAGGTAAACTCATATAAAATTATGTTTGCCTCCAGCCTGTTTACTGCTTGCCATGCCTTTTATTTTGGGAGCAATCTTTGGGATTGCCTGGCACTACGCTTGCCCAGGGCCTCACGCTCTGGGAATACCAGGACCTTCAGTCCTGACCTCATCACTGCTCTGGGGCTGAACTGGAAACTGTGCAGTGCATTTTTCCAGGGGTCTAAATATTACATATTTCTACTTTATATGTTCATTACCACAGAGAAAGCTTTAGGTAAATGGTGTTGTCTGAAATTGTATTCAGAATATTCTGTGATTCCAAGTCAGACTTGATGATCCCTGTGGGTCCCTTCCAACTCAGAACACTCTATTCTATAACTTTTTTTTCCAGAAGGGTTTCACTACAGAGCAACACATACATTTCTGTATGTTTAACTTGATTTGTGCTGAGAAAATAGTTTCCATTGTAGTTGCATTTTTACAGGCATACAGGGCATTGTAATGAGCCATGAAATTCTCCTCACATGCACACCACCTCTTTCAAAAGGAAGGATAAGAGGAAGGTTCACTTTGGCTGTGTGAGTGTATTGGGCCCTCAACAGGAAGATGTTGAATCCCCTCAAGCTCTAGCTCATCAAAGAGGTTGATGCACGTGATTATGCTCTTTTCTGAAAGAAGCTGAAGTCCTTGCAGCAGTGCTCCAAAGTGCTCACTTGGAGGTCACAAGTGTATCATCTTCCTGAAGCTCTGCTAGATGGGGCATCAAAGTTCTTAACCCATAAAACTATTCAAGTTGCTTGATTAAAGAGGGTCAAACGCAGCACAAACTCTGCTGCTGAAATGTGGGGGAGGTTTCCACACACAAATCTTGTTTTCTTCCGTAATATTTCAAATGCTACCTGAGAAGACAACTCTTGGGACATCAGGTATAAGGTGTAGTGAAGGGTTGCTCTACAAACTGCCCTTTGAAGGCAGAGGCCTTAGGGAAATGAATGTGCAGGTAACAGATCAGTTTTCTTTAGAAAGTAGTACCTATTTCTACACCAATATTCAGTGGAGTCATCCTCTCTTGACAGACTTGGCAAATACAAAAACTTTGGGCTTGCTCTGTAGAGAAACCCAGAACAGGAATTGTGGATCATTAGAAACAATTTTATGAAGCACAGTGCATGTCCCCAGAATGAACTGCACATGTCTTACACAACTGTCCAACTTCAATTTGAAAAAGGATGAAGTGAAAGCTGATCCAAATCTTCCACATAAAATGCACAGGTACTCAGAACTGAGAAACTTATTCTGAAGGTTATGACGTTCTGGTCATCTCCCCAGTCTCCCTCTCCCCACTCAGCTACTTTTATTTTTGTACTCTCTCATTCTGTCTGGTATCAGCAGTATTGAAAGACAGGAGGAAAAAGCCAAATAGCAACAAAAAGCCCCATTTCTCTTACAAAACTTCCAAAGCCTCATGACGTTTCTGGGCCAGTGCTGTAGACCTAAGAAAATGTAAGTAGGAACATAATTTTACTTTGCTATTGGTTTAACAGCAGCGAAATCTCAGTGTTGGCTCTTCCATTCTAAGGTAGTTATAATGATTCTGTTAGCCATACAGTCAGACACACAGAGAACTTGTCTTCTTTCTCCATTACCTTTTCCTCACCTGTGAAAAGCACTGTCAGCATGGCACAGGTGTGGCTGAACACAGCTTGTGCAAGATTTTCTGCCTGGGTGCACATATATATATAAGAGATGCAGAACTCACCAGGCTTTACAGGAATTGAATTTGCTCTGTGCTGACTGTTGGGATAGGAATGTTAAGAGGGATTGTCATGAATCAAGTACCAGATACTACTCTTAATAAATAAAGAAGAAGCAGATCTGTGGAGATATCAGAAAAAAAAAAGAAAAGAAAAGAAAGAGTGCTACCTCCCCAGAAAAGCCAAGATTAGACACAGGAGCTTTTAAAGAGTGGTATCATAAGAAGTGGAATCTCCCTTCTGCAGTAGGACAGCTGTCATCAACTCCCAGCTGCCATCTCTTATTTTTCCATGTAAACTGGACCTGACTTCTGTCACCTTTTACCTTGGGACCGTGGAGAAAGTAATGCTGGTTATTTCTATGGTATTACTCTCTTTGGCTTTTCCTGAGGCTGAGTCTTCAAAGCAACCTTATTAATGCCCATAACAGGATATATCTACCTTACAGAAGTTGAAGACAAAATCCTGACAACTATGAAACTTGGCAAGAACATGAGAACTGGCAGCAGAAAAAGGTTCTCTCCTCTTTGTTTCACAAAGCTGACTGAAATGTCTTCTTACAGCTGTAAGCATGTCCTATCTGGTCACCCTAAATGCCTTCTTGGCCCTGCTCAGATTCGGTACATTAAAACTATTACCCTGTGATGTTGCTTGCTAGTCCTCACTGGTATGTCTTCCCTGTACTATGTTCTGGATGTAAAAAGCAGCTTTTGCAAAATCCTAAGCAAGGACAGTCATTGGAGAGGTTTCTGACACTTGATGCTTGTATAAAGATTCTTTAGACAAGGTAGACAGCTGAATAAATCCTCTTTCTTGAGGCATACTTTCTTTCTTTTTTGCTTTCTCATATGGTTATGAATGTTGAATATAGATTAACCAGAGCTTGCTTGTTCATCTTGTGGCTAAAAATGTGCTAGAGAGCACCTAAAATTGCTGCTGCTTCCAGATTGCGGTAACAAATATTAAGACTTGTTCACTGAGATACATCCTGGCCATAGAGCATCAGTAAAGGGTCAGAATCTCAAAGCTGTTGATCTGGGAGAGAATTTGAGTGCTCTGAAGGTGACAGTGCTTACCATGTACCTGGTTAGCTCATTCAGTGTTTTATTCTACCTACAGTATTTAGTTTGTGAAGCCAGGAATTGGGATTTAAACAAATAGATCTACATCCTCAAGTCTCATATTCTGGCTGATACTGCTCTTATAATTTGTGATGCATGTTTGAACTTTCCATTTGTGGACT